CTTTAATAAATTCGATTTTAATGAATTCCTTTTCCAGCCAGCATTAGTGGTAATTAAATGCGTAAAACAGAAATAAAAACAAAACCAAAAAGTATTTGTTATTATGCGCGTAGGCATGACAAACACTTGCAGGCATCAATTATATCAAATTTCATGTGACAGCATGGCCAACATATAATTAAATGTGATAAGTATTCAAAGTTGAAAAATAAGAAGAAGAAGATGAAGAAAAAAAAAACTCACTCACCAAATTGCAACAAATAATAATTAATACTTTATGCGTACAACAACAAAAATACTGTTTTGAAAATTTATCGCTAAATTCGTTAGACGCTGAGTAGTTGTTAACATTTTCGGCAAGCAAAATATTTTTCGGAACATTTTTATTTTCATTTTTATTAGAATGGCCGTTGTAAATGGTGAGGCCGGGCGCCGACATCGCTACTGATTTTGTACCAGCTATATATTACTGTTTATTTAAAGTTTCTACTTTGCGATCACTCATGGGTCATAAAGTGGGTCAAATGTGACTGTAAATTGTAAAAGCAGCAGGCAATTTAATGATTTTGCCGAAATCTTTAGAAATTATGGTAAATGCGGCACGAAAGTGTACATAAAATTGAAAATAACTTCATAAATTTACATGTTAATAAAGTCAGTTGTATTTAATTGAGTTGAGTTGAGTTAAGTTGTTGTTGCCAAGTAAAATAATTGCTACATTCCAAGACATTGATAACACATAATAATTTAAATGCACGAGCTATTAAAAAAAACTAAACCAATTCGTTACACATATAAAAGATGTAAAGCGATCGTAAGGAAGTCAAAATAATTGAAAATAAATACGACCTTTAATTAAAATTGTGTAACACGGTAATTCAATAGTCATCAAACTTGAATATTAACTTAATTTAAATACTTCAGTAGATTACTTATAAGCCCCTGCTTATCCCGCTATCAGGCCGAATGCCACTCTACTCCTCTTCACCGGATCCTCCTCAGTCGGAACAGCTCTTTAATTGGCACCGAGGGCAGTCTCTCTAAGCTCTAACCTAATTCATATATTTATGCTCTATATAAATGACGGCGCAAACGAAGAAGGGCGAGTGTTTTTAGAACGAAAAGTTAAACATAAACAAGAAAAAACGTTAACTTCGATTCCACTGAAGCTATAATACCCTTCATAGATCAGCTATATGCTATAGTTGTCCGATACTGACGATTCCAACAAATGAGTAGCTTCTTAGTGAAAAAAGACCGTGTGCAAAATTTCAGATCAATATCTCAAAAACTTAGGACTAGTCCATACAAGGGCTAGAGTTTGATCGGTGTGGTTGTATGAAAGCTATATGATTTAGTAGTCCGATATTGGCGGTTCTGACAAATGAATAGATTCTTGGTGAGGAAAAGACGTGCGCAAAATTTCGGATCGATATCTCAAAAACTGAGTACAATAGACGGACTGACGAGCATAAAAAAAAAATCGACAAATGTCCAACAAATTATCGGGAACAAGGATGCACAAATAGAATTGAAATTGATCAAAATTTTTCTACTACCCTATACTAATAGGTCTAGTAAAATGAAATCCATTATTTTTCATTAAATTGAAGGTGTTATTTAGCATAGTTAGAATTAGATGAAATAGGCTCCGATGTGCTCATGCCACTCTCAAACCTTCCTTACTATATAGACAAAACTGGACGGTTGATTTTTCCAAACTTCTTTTGAGACAAATGTTTCTCACAGAAGTTTTCACACTGGATGCATAAGAGTCTCTCCATAAAGCCCCCAGAGCTTTTGCCGAGACCCTATCGATTCTCTTATTGGACCAAGCTGGTCGCTTCTTTAAGACGGTCCACTTGTTAACAATACAGGTTGGAGTTAAGAGTTTAGCTGTAACAAAACCTTCCTGATCATTAATATTGGCTTGGACACCCAGGGTATGTAAACCCCCTTAAAGTATGTATGCCATTTAGAGTCACGTTAAAGTGCCAAATTGACGGACTTCAATATTCTTGATGTTTGCTAAATTTCCACCAGTTTCATTAAGTTTCATCTAGGACAGAGCTTTGTCCTGTTTTCTTATAAATAACAGTTTGTGTAATTTATACACACTTTTAAGAGAAGACCGGAGTAGAAGAGTAATGAGAAATACCGGTTTAAAAAATTAGGAGAACCAAATATATGCCTTAAGTAATACAAGATGAGAGCTCGATTTTTATAAAATGAAAGAAAACCAAAATTTACAATGTGAGTATTCACATACTGACTTATACGAAAGAGTGCACTAGGAACAACCAACAAACACTACTAACTTAGCAACAACACAAGAAGTGTATGTCTAAGAAAATTCAAAACACGTTTCGTGCAAGTAAAACAAAAACACTAACAGCAATCAGTCAAATAAGATATTCCAGGACCTATGGTGCGTATACGTAATTTTTGAAAGTGATTGTGATGCCAAGAATACCCTGGACAGGGTACATTAAGGTATATTAAATCTGCCATGATGTTTTTAAGTCCTAGAAGGAAGCGTCGGATAAAATATATATATAAGGGTGGTCCGAAAAAAAAATAATTTTTTTTTTTTAGCCTGAGGGTCAAATTTGTAGATTATAAACAAAGAAGATTTCAAACAGGAAAAAAAATTTAACTTCCAGATCTCACTAATTTTAAAAGTAAATTTCGAGTTAAAATTTTTTTCGACCAAAAAAAATTATTTTCGTTAAACTCTTCACATTTATAAAAAAAAAACTATCGAATTTGACGGTTTTTGACTCAAAATTTATTTTAACGTTTAAGGAAAGCATTTTGTCGTTTAAGACTTAAAACTCCAATAATGACCACAACATTTTTTTTTAAGTTGATAACTTTTAATTGGCCAGAAAGAGGACTCTCCACAGCTTCTAGAACACAATAAAAATTTTAACTCAATACTTTACTTTAAAAGTGCCTCTACATGTTAAAATTTTTTTTCCAAAAATTTTATTTTTTTATAATTTACAAATTTGAAAAAAAAATTTTTCGCTCAACCCTAATATATATAAAAGATCTGCATGACGAGCTGAGTCGATTTAGCCACATCCAACTGCCTGTCCGTATATCTGTATATACGTGAACTAGTCCCTCAGTTTTTCAGATATCGCTCTGAAATTTTGAACACGACCGTTTCTACCCAAGAAGCTACTCATTTGTGGGAATCGTTGATATCGGATCAGTACAGCATATAGCTCCATACAAACTGAACGATCTGAATTAAGTGCTTATATGGAAAGCTCTTTCATTTTACAAGAAAACTGAACTAAATTTGGTATGGGTTATTATCTAAGGAAATACTGTAATCTCCGAAGAAATTGTTTAGTTCGGATCACTATAGCATATAGCTGGCATACAAACAGATCGATCAGAAACAAGCGCTTGTATGGAAAACTTTTTAACTTGGCAAGATATCTTCAAGAAATTTGGCAGGGATTATTGTCCAAGGCATCGGTTAAATCTTGGAAGAAATTGCTCATATCAGATCACTACAACATATAATTATCATACAAACTGACCGATAAAAATCAAGTTGTAAATGATGGTTATTTGCTCCTCATAATGATATATATTATATATCAGTCTACGACGCCAGCAGTTCATCATTACTTAGTAAAGATGTCTGCACAAGACTTGCTTCAAATTTCACAACTATTTTGTTGGTAGGTTGATTATTGTTCAGGGATAAAATAGGACTCTATATTGAATATATTCTCTCTAACTCCACAAAACTAAAAAAAAAATCCGGTGTTTGAATCTGCTGAACCTAAGAAGTGCATACTCGTAAACAAGGTGGATCATAGCATGCTAATGATTTATAATGATCAAATTGTCCTACGACTTGACAGTTTTATGTGTCAAAGTTAATTAATCTTTCAATTTTGGTAATATACATATATATATAGTAAAACGCTAGATCTTTAGTATAGGGATGATAAACTATTAAGGAAATTATTTTGAAGCGGCAGCCAGTACCGACATTCTTTGTTACTTTTTTTCTTTTTCTTTAGCTTTGTACTCTTTTCGAATAATTTTTCTCATTCTCATATTCTTTGCAGCTGCTCATAACCCCCAGAATATTTCTCACTCTAATTTAATAGTCTACAACTTTATTCTTTGTTTGATGAGCTCGGTAAATATAACATCAATACCTGAGAAGTTAATTACTTGGCTTGAAAGTATTAATGAACATCAATGAATTATAAATAGCTGTACCTATCCATTACCTAAACACTAACGTAAACTTATACATATATACAAGTATATATATATATAAGAGAAGGCATTGAATTTTTAGAGCAATAAGATGGCAATGATATTCACAGCTGGCTAAAACCAAATAAAACATATTGTCAGCTTCTAAGATTGCACCTTAAACACCGCCATAAAGCCATACATACATACAAGTACACACATATTCATATTTCTACTCTCATTAGACATTTGTGTGATTTAAAGAAGACGTTTAAAGGCAATTAACATAAATATCGCTTTGCAATATATTATTTTCGTTTAAATAAATAAAGTATGTGGAAAAATAAATCGTAACAAAATGATTTCAAATTTTTATACAATTCAGGCGAAAAGTGACTGTGCGCTGAATTGAGCATAATTTCAAAAGTTAATATTCAAATGAGTCGAATTGACCTTCAGCAAATGTTGTAGTGTTTCTCAATAAGCTCGGCTTGTTTCATTATAGCAGATCATTTAGTACTTAATTTTGCTATTTACATATCTGAATATACATAAGTACATCCATATATGAGTATATATGTGTTTTTGTGTCAAGCAATGATAACGAAATATGAAAAATAGTTTACTACTTCAATTTTTCATACCATTTTACTATTAGATCGCTGATGATAAAAAATAAACAAACTTAAACCAACGCTGGATATGAACTCAAAATAATCAAGAACTGTTAATTATTTTTATTAAAAATTATTTAAAAAATCACTTACTGTTGTGTGAAAGGTTTTGGCAGCTGTTGTAGGAAATCGCTTAAGCAATGATCGCCTTGAACATATTTAAATTTGTTAACTTTTTTCTCACTTTTACACTTAAATATTTCACTTCAACTAGGATTTCAAAGCACAAACGAACTTCTGTATCACCGACATCACAATATAAATATTTAGCAACACTTTTGTATCTGCAATAAACAATTTTTTATAGAAACAGTAAATTATACGATATATATATTTTTTCCAAGTCAAATAAATATAAAATGGCTAAGTTCGAATGCAGTCGAACATTGTTTAATGTCTTTGGACGATTTGTAAAAATCAAAGGCATGTGAAATATTCCATCATCATGTTTATACATCCAAGATTAAACGAAAGTCGGAACCGACTGCCATGTAACAGAAGGCTAGTAATTATTATATTGGTTACATGATTACGGAAGGAACTTTCATAAATTTTTAGCATTAACCCACAATATGTTAAAAGACATGCTTATAAAATAAACTAAAACTTAATGCTTATAAAATATCCGGATTCCAAAATAATTGTATTTCGTCTATTTCTGAGGATAAAGCACATTATGGTTAAGAAAAGATGTGCACTTAATTAATTTGAATATAACACATGTTGACGGATATATACCGTATAGATACAACTGGAAACAACTATATACTGAGGTTAGGGAAAATTATGAACATATTTAATCTATTAAAACAGTTTTCTACTAATTTTTCTGAAGATTACTTACACTATGCCTTCCATAATATGCGGCATAAAGTGGTCCAGAAGCTCGAAAGTTATTATATTAATAATAGGCGGGCTGGCATATATAGTGGGAAGTAGGTAGTAATCCCATCTGGCTTTCACTAATATTATTTTATATTCGTTTTGTAGAACATACGATTTGCACTTTAATTCTATAAGAGAATACGTAGAAATTCTCTTCTTTGCACTATGAATTACTTGGAGATATTCGTGACAAACATTAATAAAACTAAACTGAAAGGATTAATAGTAAAAGAAAACGTTTTTGTAAGAAAGAAAAATGGTAAGAAATAGAAGTTACAAATAACTATTCCCTGTTAACCCAAGATCTTCAATTTCTTGAAAATTTTAAACAAAAACATAACCTACTTTTCTCTTAAAAAAACAAAAATCTCTGGTACCCCAACTAAAATTAATCATGTGACTTCGCATAAGCATTCATTTCCGTTCAAGATGAATTTCGGCTGACAAAAAGGTGTTCCCATGTCAGTCAAAAATCATTTCACATAAAACCAGTCGATAAGCGCGTAGGAGTCACATAAACGGTTATTTTCACAAAAGTCATAAGCTTAATATGAGCACTATTGCTTGCTAGGTGGCTCATTCCCATATCGATCCCATGCCATTTATCATTATAATTGGAAGCAGTTCAGGTTGCACATACATGTACATATGTATATTCGTACTTTAGTTGGTCACATGTGTGCATTATTATGGAAAGCATTCACATTGTCGCCAATGAATGAGTTTACTGCAAATACAATCACACAAACAACAAAGTGTTCATATAGAGTTACAAAACATTCATTGCAACACCTTGGAGCAACAGACGACGGCTAACATTAAAGCGCACCCACCAACAGCACCAGTGGTTATAACCAACTGCGTCTTGCAGACAATTATAGCATTGGCCAGTAGGCGTGTTAAGAAACAACTCCCCAGGCAATTGTTAAAATAATACAAACAGCTTTAACACAAAAGGATTGTCCAAATTGATTGAGGAAAAAAGTATTTAAACAGGTTCATACGTAGAAAAAATATTTTTGAAATGTATTCAATATAGCCAAGCATTAGAGTGGTTCTTATGTGATAGAAAAACTTCTTGGTAATTTTCTAAGCTTCTATCAATACACCGATTTAGACTAAAGTTTATAACTTCTCAAAGCGTGAACGAGAACAGTTTTCAAAAAAAAAAGCTGATTTTGGTCGGTTTGTATGACAGCTATATGCTATAGTGGTCCAATCAGAAAAAATTGTTCCGATATTGTTACATTGCCTTGGATATTAAGCCGCGAAATTATGTAAAAATATCTTGTGAAATAAAATATTTTAAATACAAAAACTTGATTTTGAACTCAAAAACTGAAGGACTAGTTTGTGTATATACAAACGGACCGACGGACAAAACTAAATCGACTTAGCTCGCCATACTGATCATTTATATTTTATAGGGTCTCCGACGTTTCCTTCTGGGTGTTTCAAACTTCGTAGCAAACTTAATATACTCTGTTCAGGATATAAAAATATAATAACGAGTTTTTTACGAATCACCCTTTTATACAGGAGTACATATGCAGATATGTTATACATTAGTAACGAACTGACGCAATCATGCATTAAAATGGTTTTTATAACCAAATGCAACATGCTTCGTAAATGTGTTCTAGTCATTTTGCTTGACTGTTGTTCATAAAAAACGGTATTCAGATATTAAATGTAGTCCAATCTAGATATACAACATCGAATTTGACATAATGATAGAATTGCAACAACAAGAACATAGGTGTTTAAGGCACTTTATCTTAAAATCAAAATATGACAATATTCTTTACTATCTTAGTGTACTAAAGTCGTTGCAAATGTGGATATTTACTCCACTTTTAAGGGTTAATGGCTCACAATCAGAGGCTACAACAAATAATTTTCAAATTAATAAAAAAAAATATATATTTTTTTATTTCCTGTTATTTACATTAGCTGGAGTTCTGTTTAATAAAGCATCGGGGGACATCAGTGTCGATAGATTGCGAGTCGTCCATTCACCTCTGATAATGACGAAAATTGTCATATTGGCATTAAAGAGATACTAGAGGATTTCAAAATCAGTTATGAATCGATTCAGCATATTTTAGTTAATGTTTCTGGTATGAAGCGTGTCAATGCTAGACTAAGTCTTTTGCACAAACGACGTCGAACAGAGGTCGCAAAAGAGATGTTTGACAACGTAGATGACGACTTTCAAATGCGTCATTACTGGTGACGACATGCAGGTTTATGAATATCACGACAAAACTGTGCAACAATCTACCGAATGCCGTACCAAAAATTAACTGAAACCGAAAAAACCAAAATTAAGCGTTGGCAGGCTCAGAGCCTATTTTGGGAGCGAAAATTAAGATTTGTATTCTAATACGTGAGAGTGTATGTAGTTTTTTTGTCCTTACGAGTCAAACTTGATCACATGCTATGTTAAAATTATTAAGAATAACAGCATGATATAAAGATTAAACGATGTCTGTCTCTTGTCAGCCCACAAGTACAAATAAACAGTCAGATTCACGTTTTGAACATAGGACACCCTTTATGGATGTTGAGGCCAAATTAGAACTCTATAAATCGTATTGTCTACCAGCGACATAATGGTATTTTTTAATCATGAAAAAACAACAACAATGGTATAAATCACCCGTTCGAATAAGTTAAAAGAAAACCACCTAATAACCACACCCAACTTCGAGATAACGAATTCAAATTCAATATTCAAAAAATACATTATAAATGTTTTTCAGTAATAAAAAAATATGCATTTGTCTGTGCCATTGCACAGTTGTTCTGTAAGTTTACGGCAAGTTGAGATAAGCACCCCACAAATATAAACTATTCAATTAATCTATATCTATTTACTATATATACAAATATATATACATATACTATATGCAAAACTGTACATTTGTATAAAACGAACAACTTATGGCGCTGGCAGCTAATTAAGAGCATTAGTAAGAAGTATGCGGAGCAAATTGTCAGACAAACCCAGTTCGACCTTGACAGATGTAAAAAAACGTTCGCACATTAAATTAATTACAAATTACATACGAGTTTATAAAACTTGCATTATTGATATTCTGATATGGCAAGGGTTTGTATGCTAATTGCTGACGAATCCAACGCGACTTTCTTGAATTTTGCCAGCGCATTGTTTTTGTACTAATTGTACAAGATATAGTATTGGTCTGTTGGCGGAACAACGTGAGTTATGAAAGAATAACTATTAACTCTTATAGTGAGAAAAAATTATTTGATTTCATTATTGTATTTATTTCAATTACTACTATTACTACTTTTACTATAATTTTTTTGTTGTTGTTATAATAATTGTTTCTTTATTTTCTTTACAGGTGAGTGGGGAATTGGACTTATAGCTTATTTCTTGGTAATAAAAAGTTATAAATTATAAAATGAATAGTGTTGGTAAGTAATGCTTAATTTGTTTTTTTTTTAGAAAGTCGTGATAACTATTGTACTTTTATGATAAAGATTATTGTCCAAAGTGGTGTTTAATTAATGTAACAAAATAGTTGTTTTAAACACCAGAATTTGTAAAATAATTAATTACGGGTACACTATCCTGTGGTGTAAAGAAGATAGTTATCTACTAAATTTTGTGCAACTTTAGAAACAACTTATGTAAGCTTATGTAAATTATAGAATATTTCTAGCGTCGTCCAAAGGTAATTAGAATTGTTCCATGATATAATGATGATATATTCTAAGTCAGGCAAAGAAATTAATTTTATCTTATTGACCTTGAGATATCATTTAAGGGTACTAAAAGTCCGGAAGGATTAAAAGAGTTTATATATTTCTCGTCATTTTTGCTATTTTTACTTCTGTAGGATAGTATATAGTTTGTATACTGTTTTCGGCACATGTTTGTTTATATAATTTTCATTGCCCTCCATCGAAACCTTGAAATAGGCGAGTTAAGAAGGAAGCCTCTAACAGATATGTTATACTATCAGAGGTTTGCAATTGTCTAACGAGAATGAAACTTTGGAATTCACCACCACAGTAAATGCTGTCAAACTGCCTAAAATCTTCGAATTACAGAATGGCATTGAATTTCAAAATCACACCTCGCCACTGAGTCATGTGTGTATATACACATTGTATATACAAAACAAAAATACATAAATCAAACAGCAATGAATCTTATTTGTTGCAGTCACTCATTATCTAAAATATTGACGCATCACAATCCAATGTCACGGTGCACTCAACTTCTGTGCACAGTTTAGACCAGCTGGATCGACTTATGAGCATTGAGTGTGGCTTTAAATTTATCTCAGTAACAGATATGCTTATGTTTATAAAAAACAAAAAATTCAACTGCAATTGAAAGCTTAATTGCCGCGCTCACAAC